TCTTTAATCTAAAAAATGTTAATACTTTATAATATTTTAACAAAAATAGAAAACATGTTTTTATGCCTATTAGTGAGTCCTCTATATGGCAATGGTCCTATTAATGTGCTCCCAATTTGTGTGCCTATCCACATTTGACTCATTTTAACATATAGTTACTAAAACAGATAATAAATTTAAGCTAATTGTTTATGTTAATATTACATAAATCATTATTTCTATTATATTTATTTCAAAGTACACTTATAAACTCAACGTTTTCAGCACCAATACAGAACACATTAATATTGACAAGCTTAAAATCTTGCAGTATGTATTACTGGATTCACATAAATTCCTCATACCTTTCGAAAAATATTTAAAAATACTTTAATACTTAAAAAATAAAATATTATCTTTGGTATCGTATGTATTAATAATTTAACTTAATAAAAAAAAATATTTTTTCTTATTTATTCGTGCTAATTTTTTTTTGTGTCTTATCGAAATACAAAAGCACATTAATAGGGACAGTTACTCTAATATCGCTCTACTTCCAACGTTTACCGTAGATATTATAAAGTTTCCGCAGTATCCGAAGCTACAATGTACGTTCGGAAGACTTTGTCCGAGAGCCTCTCAAGCAGCCAGAACCGTTAAGCGAGTGTCATTAAGAGCTTTCCTTTCGATTCTTTGTCTAGCGAATAGTTTCAGCCGCGCGCGGAGTCGCTCTCGCAGAATAAAACTTTGGGACGTATATCGTGCTACGGTCGCCCCTGAGAACGAGTCTAGCGTGTAAAACGCCTGAAACTTCGAAAGCACGTTTAGCGCTCCAACCGTCAAACTCAAATTCATTTAATTTTGTTGCGCCAGACAGTTTAAACATAGGAGCGTGCAGTGTCAGGCCGCAACCGTGCTTCACCATTATCTTGTAACACGCTTCGAAACGCTAAATGCGCTTTCGAAGTTTCAAATGCTTTGCACACGCTTTCTGCGCCCATGCGCGCACCAAGAGCACACGGTGCTCAGATCTAAGCAGATCTTAACGTCGAGCGCTGCGCCGTTGACAATTTGTTAGTTTCGCACGCGGAATCCTTGTCGATATCGCGCTGAACTCTCGTAGGGGATTAAAAAGAAACACCGTTCGGTAACTAAGTGTTTCTCGAGACTCTCGAGTTTTAGCTACTTGAATAGTAAATGAGGAAAGATCGACTCAAGATCGTCAAGAAATCCGTAGAGATGGTTCGTCAGATTCTGTGAATACACACGAGTGATTCAACAAGACCTTAACCCTTTGTGGTCAAGATCAATTTGATTCCAAAAAAATTTTGAGGATTTATGTCTCTAATTAATATATCTCTAATTACTATAAATACAGCAACTGGTTAAATGTATATATTCTAGAGGCATTTTGACCCTGGAGAGTGACTGTTACAGAACGAAAGGTGTGATCACGAAGGATTTAAATAGCCCTTCGACGAGAATTTTGCACATTCTAATATATCATATCTGAAAAAGCATTGAAAGACATTCTGTACGGAAAGAACGAATTTACTGAAGTATCTAAAATTTAGCTAGAATAGAATACAAATCTAAAAAAATAATTTTATTTGACCATTGAAATATTATAATTATATAAGACACTTAAATAAACTGATTATTAGAATGCCAAAATATTGTGCAGCTTTATCATCAAATTTGAGTATCATCCTACATGATACTTAAATTTTTAGATACCTATCTTCAGTAAGATCGTTCTTTCTGCGTACTACCAAGCGAACAGTTTTGCGGAACTTACGCTTGTACTCGAAACTACTGTTAGCTCGGAAGATTTTACTCAAGATGGTATTCTCTTTTGCGCGTTTCAGTGGAGGAGCTGGAATGTCTGGCCACCTGGAAGGAGGGCAGCAGCCGTTACTTAGTCGGCCGTCTACATCACGGCCACGCGTCCAGTAACGAAGATCGATACCGGTGCTTCGTTTACGAAAAGGCAGGTCAGACTGTGCAGGGTAATCTGAACAGGGCGGCCATGGGTATGGGCACCATGGACCACGAAGTCGCCTTGCCGGGCGGGCCGGTGCCTGAAGGCTCCGCCGAGGTATACCGGGTGGCACAGAGCGGCGACGCGACGTGCAACGGTCTGTTCAGTCCCATGGAAGGTTCCCGAACGATGACCCTGAGGAAAGGTAAGTTCCAATGACACGCATTGAAGGTCGAATTCCTGAAAATCGAATTTCTTCGTATCTGTCATTCGATCACTTGATTGTTGAGATATTTCTATAGATGACAAGATCGATTTTACTAAGCTAAAGTATCTAAACATTTAGCTGGATCTGAAAATAATTTTGTTAAATCATCAAAATCATTATAGAATGTTAAAACTTCTTCCAGCATTACTCATTATGTGCTTGAACGTCCTATATAATTATTTTGATAATTCAACAGAATTATTTTTAAAGCTAATCTAACTAAATTTTTAGATACTTCAGCAAATGATTCTTTCTGTGTTTTCACAGAATTATAAAATATTTATCGCGCGTTATAAAATAGTTTATCGATATGTACAATCGCGATCACGCGATCACATATATTGTAAGTTATTTTACTTTAATTTACAAAATGTTAAAATTATTAGATCCTAAAATTAATGCACCCAATAATTGATTTCTTCTAATATTACACGTGTAGATATTGACGACTGTTTAATTTTTCATCCTGGAGCGATGATACGTAAGCGTTAAATTATATTTCATTCAAACAGTCGATATTTCTGTTAAATTATTTCTTTCAGACAGTTGCTATTTTTATGATGATGATGATCTGATCATATCAATATGTGAAATCAATATGCACAATACATATCCGATTTTCATTCACCAACTGATATATTCTATAATTCTAAATAACAAAGTCATTATTTCTACAGTTACAGTTCTGTGTGTGTGAAACGAGATTTCTTATTTAATTCATCGTTCTCTAATTTTAACGTTTCAATAAAAACAGAGCTAAGCATTGAGATTTATTGATGAAGGAAAGCATTCAAGGATTTTATCTACTTTTAGATTAATAAAAATGGACAAGCAATAGATGAGAAAATAAGATCCGTAAAAACTTATTACGTAATATGGGGAGAATTAAGAATTATATAGAAAGAATTATACAGAAAGAACGATTTTTTTTTTGAAATAACTAAAAATTTAGTCGAGACAAATCCGAAAATAAATTTTACTGGACCATGGAAATTAGGTATGTAGGAAATTCATGCACGATGAGCAATACTGCATAAAGTTTTCTAGCCAGATCGGCTTAAGCGTCTACATAATTATTTTGATAATCGAATAAAATTATTTTTATCTGTATCTGACTAAATTATTAGGTACTTCAACAAAACCATTTTTTCTGTAAGATTTCTAATAATATTCAGATATAAAAGAATATTTTGGATTATAACAAACAGAGACTTAATTTCACTCGTTGGTTTCTGCATCATCAGAGAGTCTCATTTCATTAAAATAAAAAGTTTCTCTAAAAACGATCGCACTTATGACAAAAATGACATTTAATTATTAAGAATATATCTTTTTGTCAATATTATTTAATTAGTTAATAATTTCCTTTAAATTGAAAAAAATAATTTTTCCATTTTCCGAGAAACTTCATTTTTTATCATTTTTTTAAAGTAAGAAAATGATAGTAGTTTCCGATTCAGTTAATAATTAAGGCTGCACAATGAAGATTTCGCACGATAACAAAGATATTTAACGGGTTATGGCAGTTAAAAAATGTTTAATTATCGTGAGATATTGCATGATAATAAATCATATCAGCGAATTGTATCTCCCATCCAGTTGTGTGATTCGCCATCGTTAAAATTTTTCCATTTTTACCGCTCTCGTAGATTTTAATTATTACAGTGTAAATACGTGCTTGACGAGGATTCCCATCGGGAACGTGAACGTTTCAATTTATCGTTATTTTCTATCTGACCGAATTTTTGAAAATTTTTATTGCGGCCGCTCAGCGCGGATCGTCGCCACGCCGCGATGTTACATCGCGTTTCTGATGCGTATTTTGCATAACGATCTCGCGTTATAACGTCTTAAGCGAGATGTCCGCAGCACTCAACAATATTAAATTATAACTCGCAAAAATGCGAACCGAAATGCAATGGCGGTAACATAAGCGTATACTTGAAAGAATTGCTAATCAACGTACGGGTTTTTCATTTCATGAATAAGAAGAACGTGTTTGTATGACGTCTGGCGGGTCGCGCTCTGCATCTCTCCCTCTCCCTTTTACCCCGCTCGCGCATTTCCGTCTTACTCGCTTTTCATCTCGAGGGCTCGCAATCCCATTTCGCTCCGTTAATGGATTCATATATAATTACCAGAGCTTCACGCTCCCGCATTACACTTGATAAATATCATCGCGAAAGGAAAGATATGAAATTCTCGGGACGATGAAAGCAGGCTTTAAAACTCGTAGAGCATCGCGAAGGGCCACGTTGATCGGTCCTCCCGTCCTCCCCTCACGTTTGGCCACGATGCATTTTTCCGTTCCGTGATTTCCAGGATGTTCCTCCTCTCCAGTCTCCGAACCGGAGGATAAATAACGTTGGATTAAACAACATCTCATAATACCCGCTCTGCTCCCGTAGTCTTTTGATCCGAAATGTACACGCGGATATTTCGCAGTCGTAAATATTCCGTGTTTTCTTAATTTCGCCGTTGCACGTCCGACGGGTCAGCGGATACTCTGCGTAATGAATCGCGGCCGCGATACTATCGCGATATCCGCCGAAATTATCACGCGAGGACAAAAGCGGGTCGGTGATAAACAGGGTTCGGACGTTACCGTCGCCGCTTCTATCTGAGGTGATCATTAAAATCGATGGTTGTACGCATTACACGCGTACACTGTCACACGCGGCCGAGCACACGGCTATGCAGTATACAGCTATTTCCTATCCGGTAAGCGCTACCGAAAAATAACTGATCCTCCATTGTTATTGTTGCATAACAGCCCATTCCTCGTGCACCGCATCTCGCACGTAGTGCCATTATCGTGCCACGTGAGTTGGCGTTTTGTTACGTTATGCCTGTTATTGTTGAATCGGCTTTGTCAAAGGTAGTATGGCTCGATTATACTAGATTTGTTCGAGAAGAGCAGAAAAGGTTGTCACAAACTCCTCATCCTAAAATTGCATACTTTTTCCTGATTTCCACACAAAATTTTATGATTTTCTCTGACTTTTATATAATAATACTTTGAAAATTTTTATATTTTTGTCCTGATTTGTGAAAACCATTAAATATTTTATTGAGAAATCAATTTAACATAGCAATATAAATTACTATTAATATTGTCGTTTTTATTTTTAATTTTTAATTGTTAAATTGATAAAATTCTAAAAACACTACGATGTGTGATGTTTATTAAACTTCTTTAAAGTTAAGAATTAATTTTTTAAAATATTTTGCGAAATTCCCTTACTTTTCCATGATCGTTTCCAATTTCCCTGACAATTTCCTGGTTTCCAGTTTTGTGACCTCGAAGTGATATGAAAAATCGTGTATGTATTATTATGTAGTACTACTATGTAGTAGAATATATTAATGTAACATATATTATAAATGTTATTATAATTTTACTAAAAAAATATACTTCCACAATTTATTTCTAAATTGTGTCAAAGCGTAATATTTTTTGTGTTAATTTTTACATAATGTTTTAAATTAATACAGAAAGCGTATCGTTTGGGACATGTGATGTGTGTTAAACTCGGTGTTAAATTTAACACAAATTTTCCAATTTTAGAATTGGAATTTAAATAATGATTTCCATCGAACGTTGTGTTCCTTATGAAAATTCAAAGATTTCAGAATTTCCATATCGCATTATAAACATAACAGTTAATAACTTTGAAAAAATATGGGCGGTAACCACTTGATACTCGTCAGTAAAATGAGAAGAATAGAAGTAAGTTGAAGGAGATTGATGGTAACGCTATTAATGCTATTATTTGCATGATAAAGCTCACGTGACGTGATAATAGGATATTCCCGCAAGCGATGACAAAGCCCGATGATGAATCGCAAAACCGCCCTCGTCTGTCTTTTTTAAACTTGTTTCTTCGTGAAACGAAGCTACACTCGCGCAGGTACGCGCTAATCGAACGTGTCAACACTCGCCGGGTTCGCTTCGCGAGTAAGAAGAGCATATTTGCTCGACTTTTCCGCGTTCGCGTTTTATTTTTCCCGCTCTGGTCCACCTGCCCCTACCTGGCTTTACCATCCCTTACCACCGAGTTTGCAAACCCGTATCTTGCCTCGCGTACAGTCTCACAACAAACTTCGTTAACGGATTTCACTCCGATGGGTTTTCGCGATCCTCTCCTACGCCATCTCCGGCGTCGCATCCACCGTTCCCTTTTTCTCTCTCTCTTTCTCTGCCTCTTTACTGCGCTCATCGGGTGCCTCTCCAATTGCCACTTTCTTCGGCAAATCGTTTTAAGTCGAGTGGGAGTCACCGACACGCGCATAAAACTCGCCGAAGAAAAGAAGAAGAGGGAACGAGTTGGGAGAGGAGGGAAAGGGGGGGAGGGGGGAAGAGGGAGGGCTTAAGGACGGAGGTAAAGGCGGAAGGGCAGCCAGGTGAAGGGACGCGGAAAAATGGATTAACATTGAACCTTTCCCGCTTTACCCTTCGAACCTTACCCTGGGCTTCTTTTGTTCCACTTCACTCCCAGCTCGCGTACGTATCTCGCCCTCATCTTCCGACACTCGCGAGCCCCTATTAACCGCGTCCGCAGCCTCGGTCGAGATCCAAAGTTTGTTCAATTAGCTCGGCATCTACTTCGCCAGAGTAAATATCTGGGGAAAACTGCGAGACTGCAACTTGAGATACTCGCTCAGAGCGTACTCGGTTCGAGGAAGTCAAGTAGTTAGACGAACGGAAGGACAAATTGCTCCAATTACCCGATCGAAAAATTTCAGAGACAACGTTGCCACGAATCGTTATGAAAGGTGATCGAGCGTATCAATTCTTTTACAGCTTTTGGGGAAACTGTTAATCTCGAAACTGTATTATTATTTATTATTAATATTTTATTATATTAATTATTTTTTATTAACGTTATTATTAATAAGCCAAAGAAAATGAAAAATATTGATTCCACAAAACGCAATATTTAGTTTTCAACCCTTCATCTACAATCTTGGTATTTGTTGGCCAAACCAAATTTCATTCTTAAATTTCATCCTTAGCTTTGCTCAAATTTCAATTTTATTAAATAAAAGTTTTAACATTTGAATTAAAATTGTTTGCTGATGTAAAATAAAGATGTTGAAAAGTAATCCTAAATTTTTTTTAAAGCTACAATAATAAACAATTTGGATTGGACAATAAAAGCCAAGATTGCGAAAGAAGTAAAATATGATTGCAGACGAAGGGTTAAATTAAGTATTTTGTAATATAATAAAATTTGTTAAATTTGATATACATTAGACAAATTAGATAAACATAAAAAACTGTATGATTTTATAATTTCTCATTTAGTAAATTAGATTATTTTAATAAAAATATATACTGTCGTGGAAAAGAGAAAATGAAGAATAATAGTCGCCAAATATTCGTACATCTTTACTTTACCGAAATAGAGATTTAATTACATTTTTTTAAAATTATTTTTTTAAATAAAAATTGTTAAAATGAAAACGAATATAAAAGAATGTAAATTAAAAACTTAAAAAAGTAAAAATTTATGGAAAGATTAAGGGTCGGATCAGAGGTCGAACACGTGTTATACAGTTCATTTTACGATTATGCGATTTATATATTTCTCTGTGTTCTATCTCGGATTATCATCGCGGCCGAATTGCTTTAACCTAATTCGGTTACATTTACAAAAGAATATTATGGATAATACAAATGTCGAGCGTTTGTCAAACGCGATTGCCAGTAACGGTATAAATGTAATATTCGCTACACACGTCGACATGGACGTAATTCCCCGCACGTGCGTGCGCGTACATCCACTCAATTATTAATTCGTATATAAATTCATAATCATGACATCACGCATATTCCACCGAATTACCGTCGCTTTATCTGCATTACAATTACTTGTAATTCGCTCAAAATTGCACGTAGCTCGATTCAGAGCAGTTAAATTCATTCAGTATAGTTGCCCGCCATGCCAACATGTTTCCAATGCCAATCTTGGAAACTTAATTTCTGAAAAAAAAAAATAACATTAATTGTCAACGGTTTTAACGTCGTCGACTATTTTTTGAACTATTGCGATTCTAGATTAAATAATTGATATGTCCGATATACGTATAATAATCTTGAAAAAAATACTCTTGCGATTTTTCATTATCGAAAAACAAATATCTACGGAAGCTTGAAAATGAATGATTATAAAAAAAAGTAAAATTTCTAAAAAAAAAAAGCGAAAATAACGCAATATAGAGCAATATTATTACGTTATATATTTCGCTATGCGATATTATTAAAAGGACGTACAGTGGGACGTTCATATTTTGCGTGTGTTTTCTGCAATTAATCTAAAAGGAATGAAACTGGGACAATATGTAATTGTATTTGTAGTATAAATCATTTAATGGGAATTTAAAATGCATTTTACTGAAAGAGCGCAATATAGGTCACCAGCACATGTGATATTACGTAATATTGTACCTTTTGTTTTTTTATACGATACGCAATTTAAAAAGTTTCACGTCACGCCTCTTTCACTCTTATACATACTGTTAAATAAATAAATTACGTAGGTAATAGTTTATCTGACATCCAATGAAAAAAAATACGAGCCAATCAATAAATATCAACGAGTGAAATGAAAAAATAAAACGGGAAAACATATTGAAACGTGAATTTACAAATCAATAACTTTATCAATGATATTAATTCTTGCATGACATGACAGAAACGAAATAACAGCGATATTGTTTCAATCTTAAAAGGAACGTGTGAAAAGACTTCGTTCGACTTTTACGATCGCAGAATTTGTATCTTGGTCGTGGATGTGGACATCGCGGACGTATTTATCGAGCCAGGTCGTTGAATTATTTCCATTCATTGCCGCGCGGTGTGCAACAATACCTTTATATGCCATAAAACCGACCATACTCCGCGCGCTCCGTTAACCCGCTCGGTCGACCTTTTGCCCTCGACCGTACCTCACCGCACCGCCGCGAAACCACTCGACGTGAATCGGGGTGACCTCTCTTCTGACGCTTCGGTTTTACGTCCCACTCAGACCGGAAGTGGAACGCTGGTGACATGCGGAGGGTTTGGTACATCGTCAGTACATTCGCTATTGTGGGATGAAAACGGCAAAGGAGAGGTTGGACAGGCGTATGTTCGTTGGGCCGCGCGCGACATCCGGAATATGATTCTACCTTGCTGTCGACAGAGTATCGACGTCGTCGGTTTATCGACTTCGTCGTTCTGCGATACGAAGGACTTTACGGTGAGCGGCCGTGGAGTTTGTGGAATTTTTTCAATGGTACCACACATCGGCCGATCGGCATCGGTTCGACGTAGTTACCGCTGAACGTCGAAGCCGCGGTGGCATTTACGGACGACGAGTCCGTATACGTGATGGGACGCATAACGATCGCTTGGAGAATCGTTCGTTTTACGAGAGTTGCGCGGAGAGAGGTTCCAAGTAGGATCCACCTTTGACCTAACACCCCAGTAGAATTCTCCGGTTAACGAGGAAAGCTCGGTTACATGTCATCTAACGAAAAAATCCAATTGCAGTTTTACGTCGGTTGAAAAATTCTCGCATTTAAATACTAAAGAATTTTTCTATACAATGATTTTGCTTAGTATCTAAAAATTTAGCAATGTTCATCACGATTTGAAAATAACTTTATTGGACTGTCAAAATAATTATGCAAAAGCTTTGACATTCTAGCAACCAGCTTGAGAGTCCTATTTTGATAGTCTAACAAAATTATATTTTCAGATTTGTATTTCAGCTAAATTTTTGAATACTTTAACAAAACCGTTCTTTCCATAGAATAAAATGTCATGGTAAATGTATTTTGACACAGATATTCTATTATAGAATTAATTTCTTGGTCAGAAATGTACTCGTAGATTGCATTAAAAGTAATGGAAGTCTTACTGAAATGTTTTAGAAGTAATTTATTTCTTGATCTCCAATTTGTTTTATTCGTTTAAGGAAAACGTGATTTTACAATAGCTATTTCTTACTTTTAACTTCAAAATACTATCAATAGGTACATAAGTTTTACATACAAGTGAGCGAAGTCATTGAGCGCTAAGTTATGCTTCCTCAGTGATCAATCCAGATCCAATCTGCTATGTGCGCTAAAAGCTAAGATAAGTGGAAATAAATTTTAAAAAATTTAGTTCATTATATCAGTATGAATTCTTTTGATGATTAGTATTATAACAGCAATTTTTAAGCATTTTGTGGTATTACATATTTTATTAAGTGTATCATGAGGAAACATACACACACAAAATTAGACTATATGCTCTATATAGTCTATATTTTAAGATATTGAAATTTATGAATTTTAGTGTTTATTCTTTCTTTCCTTTTAGTCAGTAATTAAATTATTTATATTTATAAAAGTCTAAATTATACATATTTTATCATTAAAAGTGCGAAATGTAAAAACTTGTGTTACATTAATTAAGAGTAACTTGTATCGGTAGCAATACTGTATATACATATATTAACACCATTCAATACCAATAATAATCTAAGACTAATTAGATTCAAAAGCACGTCATTAAATAATGGGAACGTGGCGTCTTTTATTTTAGTCTCGTCCCCGGGCGAATGTCGGTTTCCGAATTGGCTGACTGGACACTCGAGCGGCGGACTGACTTGGCACACTTTGGACCTCGGCAGATCCTACACGTTTCATCCGCGAAACGCGTCTCTGCACGTCACTAGACCGAACACGACTTCGTCAAGTTTTGAAAGCGGGTCCATGGACTTGCAATACGTGCCTGGACCGGAGGATCAGGACGTGAAGATCCTTTGTAACAGCATAAAACAGTCGAATGGCGCACAGACTATGACGACGATGACTCTGGTGGCACACTTCACTGTCGGCTGGTAAGATCGTCTTATATTTCTGTAGTGTATCACTTATCCTATTTTATAATTTTGCTTTATATAAAAAATACTTATATTGAGAAATTATTAGTTTTTGTAAATATTATACGAAAAGAACAATTTTACTGAATAGTATTAAAGTATTAAAAATTTAGCTAGATATGGAGAGAGAGAGAGAGAGAGAGAGAGAGATATTTGTTTAATTTTGTTGAATTATCAAAACTATTATGTAGGACGCTCAAGCATGATGAGCAATTCTGTAAAAAATTTTGATATTCTTAAACGTCCTACACAATTATTTTAATAATACAAATTTTTTTAAATACTTTAGCAAAACCATTTTCTATAAAACTGGTATAAAATCAGAAACACAAAGACAAATTAATTTTTGTTAAAATGTAGTTTTTGTAAATTTTAATTCTATTGGTCTATTCAAAAGGGTCAATATGATTAAAAAGCTCCAAAAATAAAAAATTTTTATAGAAAAATGATCTTATATTAACAAAGTCATCAAATACAGAGGAAAAAGTTTTTAATTAAAATATTAGAGAAAATTAATTACATTTTGAATCAGATAGAATCCGAACAAACCAGCAGAGTTAATAGCAGAAACACGAGTGTTTATATTTTTGTGTTAAAATTATTATTTTTTAATTCTGTATTTTAAAAAATATGGTAGAGATACATGAAAAATTCATAAATATTTATTAAAAACAAAAAATAACGCATGGAAAAAGATTTACGAGAGAATCGATTCGTATTCACGAAATCGCTATAAAACTTCACAATTCTAGTCCACATCCGTTCGTCTGGATACCTGTTCGGATATTTACAGTGATCGCGATTAAAGTAATGGAATATGTCGCTCTGATCTTTACGAATCTTTGCATCCTTCTTTTTTCAGTCGAAGCGGTTTTATGTGCATGACATTCTACCGAAGAGACGGCCACGTGATCGAGCTACAAACGGGAAGTGCAGTATCTAGACCGGAAGAAGCATGCAGCCCACCCCATTTTCTGCAGCACAGTACGCCTTTTCTCACCTTAGTCAGTGAGTACAATTCTTCTTCGTCCTCTGTAGTTTGCGCTTTTCCATTTTCGCGATGTGTCTCCTCGACAAAGTTCAGCACTACTAGTTTCACATTACTGGAACGCGTGATGCATCTTTTAACGTTTCCACGTGAAAGTATTGCGATTGTTTGCGATCTGCCGAAATTACCTTCAACGGAACTTTGCGACGTTATCTTCAACTAAAGTCTGAATATCTCCTGAGGTCCGGTATTTCATTTTCTGATTAACTCGTGCTTTAGATTTAACTTTATTTAATCTGATTTATCTGATAATAATGTAAAAATTGTGCTTTTCTATACTGTGAGAAAAAAATTTAGTAATAGTTACCAAATGATTAGTGAAATAATGCCAATTAAATGATTAATATATACTCAAAAATCATCACACACATTTTACTATTTAATTAAACATTTAATTGACATTATTTAACTAAACATTTAGTAGTTATTATCAATTTTTTTCAGTGTAACTATGATTCATCATTAAACTAATGATTTTGTAGTAGAAACTTTAAAACTTACTATAAAACCATCAGTTTAGTAATTGACCATAGCTATTACAGAAAAATACAATTTTCGCATTAAATCTGTCGCGTGTATTTTTTGTACACAGCATCTTCTTTTTTCTTTTTAACGCTCGAATATTTATCTCGTTTTAAGTGCAAAAATTTTTAGAGCTTCTGCAACGCGAACAAACCTATACCATCAGATTAAGTCTAATCACGAGTTAATCAGAAAATGAAAAATCAAATCTAAGGTGATCACATTTAGCGAGAAGTACGAAACAATACTTATCTCTGGTATCATTCCAAGATATTAATGGAGCAATTGCTAAGATACCGGATTAACATAACTCGATAAACCTTATCATAACACGGGGGACCGTTTTATCGTATTGATCGCAAAGCACTCGTCCGATCGGGCAATCGGCACAGCCGCTTGTTCCGCTTGATTTGCGTGGCTGTGGAATCTTATCCGATCCACGTAAAGACGACTGGGAACGAGCCATCGGTGGGGAAAAGAACGAAGGAGAGACCGGACGGCAGGAGAATATGGAAGGGGAGGCAAAGAGAAAAAAGGAGTTGCCAAGTAAAAACTACCCGCACCGTCGATAAACCCGAGAAAACTCTAACTTCGCGGGGAAAAAGTTTTTCGCGCGGCGTGGCACGAGGATTTAGTGCACCGACACTAGGAGGCTGCTGGATCAGTCGGGAAAAGAGGAAACGAGATGACCGGGGATGGGCCGGGAGAAAAAAAGAAGCGAGAAGAAGGGAAGAAAAAAGAAAAAGGAAAACGCAAGGAGAAAATCGGGAACTGGTCGGGCTCGGACGATTTGTCAAAATCCCGCGAACGGCTTATAAGTTACACACCGGTCCGTAGCTATCGTTGGCCCGTCTGGAACCGGCGCTAAGTCATTTTCGTTCGTTGCTTATCGTTGCTCGCGTGCGAGCTCGCGCGCCAACCGCGAGATCGGGCGCCTCGAGAAATTCAATTTGCCGGGCAACGCCTTGGTGAGGCGCGTCACGGAAACCCCGTTGAGCCTGACAAGCTCGTGATTGAACAGCGTATTTTCTTATCATTTAGCGGTAGGGTTGCTTTGGCCGTTTGTTCCGCGCGACTCGATTGCCCGGGCCCGAGGGGCCGATATCGTGTCCGACATATAAAAAGCGATAGCAATTATTGCGACCGCCGCAACCGATTAATATTGTCTACGTGTCTACGAGTAGGGTATTGGGGCTTGCGCGAATTCGTTGTCTCTCTCTCTCTCTATCTCTCTCTCTTTCTCTCTCCATCTCTCTACTTCTCGCAAGCCAACATTCACCTCTAGATGTAGCTATACCGATTGATACGAATGCAGCCCGCGCTGTTCTCTACATTCGAGCTCGACAAAATATCGTCGTCTCCGTTGTGCCCGCAAAGAAAAAAGCTGCCAAACCTCCAACCTCCTCCCTTTCCTCCGGATGAGAGAGACCACCTTTCCAAACTCCAACTGTTCTCTTCTCCTCTTTCTCTCACCCATTTCACTCTTCCTGCCTCGCGTCTCACACCCGCTATCTCCTCGGGAATACGATCGGTTCCCGTGGGCCAGAGTTGTAATCCCACGGGAGTTATTGGATTCGGTTTGATCCACTGGTCGTTCATCCCCCTCCCGCCGCCACTTTCCGTATCGGAAAGCTCGATCCGTCGATTCGCGAGGAACAGAAAACTGCAATCCTCACTCGAGAGCCAATAGGGTTGTAGGTTTTTCGACTTTCGGCAATGAATTGGCGTATCGGATAACGAAACACGCTACCATTGACGGTGCTAATAATAAACGAATAAGATAGCGACATTTCGCCGATAGGAATCACGATAAATGGTGATAATTGATGGGAAACGGAAGAGGCTACTTGCGATTTCGAGCGCGATAAATGACGTGAAATAAATGCAATAGAATATAAATTATCGCTGCAAAAGTTAATAACGCATCAGGGTTATTGGATTCGAGATCATCGGCGGTAATTAACGAGCTATAATAGTCGATTGTACGTGTATTATCTTCACACGAGCGCGACGCGTGTGTGTAAAAATCGAATAAGCATTTGAATTATTGACAAACAACGACAATAATATAGAATTGTTATTTTCGAAATTCGAAAATGATACATGAATTAATTTTTAATTATATATATATATTGTATCTATTTCCGCTTAGAAATCTCTCTCTCTCTCTCTCTCTCTCTCTCTCTCTCTCTCTCTCTCTCTATTTCTCCCTCTTCATACAAATGATAAAATAAAACTTTCGGCCAAGTTAAATTTTAAAGATGTAATTTTGATAGTAAATTCCCGCAAATAAATTAAAAATCTGTAAGAAATAAAAATAAAATACAGACTTCTATGATGAAAAAACGTTTTTATTTATTATTAAAACTTTTATAATTATCCAAGAATTTTTTGTGATTTTTATATAATCGGGGAATAATATAAAAATCTACATTAAAGTTCAAAGATCCAGGTTATTAACGCAAAAAATATACGAATTTAGATATACTGATGAATTAGAATCTAATTAAAGAGTAATTTTTTAAAATTTTATATTCAGTTAAAGCGAGTTTTAGTACTTAAATATTTCTGTGTGAATTTATATACATATTTGATTCTGCAAATTGCAAGCTGAAACCTTTTTCCGTCTTGAAGCATTTATGAGCAGAACCGGAGTAGTAATATCACTTATTAAATTGACAATTTAATAATTTGTTGTGCTAATAAACATCTTTATAATATTATTACAAAAATATTAATAATTATATGTTATTAAAATTTGCGAATAATTTTATTGCAACAAATTTATTATTAACACAAATATGATACAAAATTCCGCATGGTTGACAGTTTAAAATATTGTTATATTTCGTATAATACTATTTAAATATTGCTGACTTAATTATGTAACGTTTTAATAAATTGTCAATATCGCTTTCGGGTCTTCTTTGCAAAAATGTTATTCCCATCAGAGATTGATTGAAACTTATTAATAATGATTTTCAATAATGACTTTCGACGTTTACACCGAATTATTTCTTAAATTAAAGATGGAACGTTCGACTCACCTGTCTACGATCTTGCCGCCATGTCAATATCTTTCGCGATTCTTTTATAATTCACAGGAAATATTGACTTCGATTTAATTCACTGCTTGTTCGCAGTTATCTCTCGTAGTTATCCTTCTCGCGGCAGGAAAAAGCATCGAAAAGCTCAATCCGCCGCTTCGCAAGAAGCAAGAAGCTATTCTCTGGACTGAGTCACGTACGATTCTCCGGGGAGCCGACTCTCTACGAGAACGAAGGATAGTATTTATCATTCCACGCACGCGGTGCACGAAATTTACAATTCAGATGCAAAAGAAGCGGCCTCTGGAGTTTCGTATTAAAGATTGCAATCGCAATCGCATAAACAATGACACGATGTAATATGACGATAATACATATAAACTAGCGCGAGAAACAAAATAGGAAGAAGAAAAGACGCTTTTGCTGAAGTATTTAAAAATTTTTAGATCACTGAAAATAATTTTGTTGGATCAAAATAATTTTGTAGGACACAAACTGGTTGTTAAAACTTAGAATGTTAGAACTTTTTGTAGCATTATTCATCATGCTTGAATTTTCATAATTAATAGTAATCATTTTGATGGCGCTAGAAAATTATTTTCAAATCCGTATCTATCTAAATTTTTAAATACTTTAGCAAAATCCAGTTCAATATCTTTCTTATCAGAGATATTGAAAACCCGTCTTTCTGTAGATTGTACTACAGTGTAAAATATAAGAAAATTCTGAAAACTGCAAACGTAAAACACAATTCCGAAATTGAATGTTTTATAACGAAAAAGATGAATAATATGAATATATGAAACCTGTTATAGAATTAGGATTCATCTTGAAATATACGCATCATTAAAATAATATATTATAATATTTTTTTTCTGTTCGAAGTTCACTTCATAAAAAACTAGAGCAAAACTAGAATAATACACAGCCAAAAATTTCAACAATAACAAGGTTTTCTGTTACATAACCACGTCCAATTAATTCTATATGTATCCTCAGAGTGAATTTGTTTTGTTTTATCGTTCAACAGCGAATGAACGCAAACGATCAGTGTATAAAAATTCATTTTGACTCTCTCGCCATGCAAGTCAATATGCGGGACGATTGATCATTCATTCACGAGCAAAAGCTCTCCATCTTCCTCTCTTTCGCTCACTTTTTCTTTCTCTTATCCAACCGAAGCTTCCATCCTGCCTTCATAAACTATATAATATCCAATGCCGCAATAAAGTAGACTATCTACGAGCTATCCATCTTTTTTCTTACTTTACGAAATTTTCATTCTATCTCTCTCCCTCTTATCCCTCTTTCCAGCCCGAACGGGCTTTCCTCTAAACTTTTATGACCACTCACGGAGAGAATGGAGAACGGCAGGGACGGCGATAGAGAAC